CCCCGCCCCACCCTGACATGATCTTGGAGAAGCAACAGTGGCCTAGTTCACCCCTTACCTGCGTTATCCCTTGGTGTGGTAGGCTCATGGCCGGAGCTTGCATAGGAGAAAATAGAACACGTTACCAAACGCCCATCCACCCAGTGCCTTCACAAAACAATAGCCCTTTCCGGACCAAGCATGGGCCGGTACTCTAACCAAGCACAACAACAATCCCCCCGCCCCACCCCGACACGATCTCGGAGAAGCAACAACCGCCCATGCACACCACGATCCCAGTGACAGTGGCTCTTTCCCGGCCAAGCCGCGGCCGGTACTCCAGCCGAGCAAAACAACATTCCCCCCGCCCCACCCCGAGCACGCATCTTGAGAAGCGCTAGCCGCCCATTTTCACCCCCTACCGTGATATCCTCGGTATGGCAGCTCACGGCCGGAGCTCGATTGGAGAAAATAAACACGCCAAAGGCCCATTAACTCCCGCGCTTCAAACAACAACCTTTTTCGCCAAGCCGCGCTCGGTACTTCCGCCGAAAGCAACGAATCGCCCCGGCCCCCACCCCTCGACATGATCTCGAGAAGCAAGAGCCACCCATACAATAACCGCTGTAGCCCGGGTAACAACGGCTTTTTCCCTTGCCAGACCACGGGCCGGGAACTCCAGCCGAAAGCAACAAAGAATTCCCCACCCCACTCTAATACACCTCCGAAGCAATAATCAATTTATGGCCACTCACAGCCTTAAAGAATAATGGTTTTTCTCAAAATTTTAAGCCGTATGTCGGTATTTCTAGCTTATGCACAACACCCTCTCTACCGACGCCATCACCACTGGCACGGTGCCGGCAGCACAGGGGACTCACCTGAGGGTACCAATGCCATGGGGGCAATTGGCGGCGGGTGGGCCCAACGCAACACTTCACATACCCCAAGGGCGTCAAATCACAATGTGATGATCACTAGAGGTGGCCACTTAAAGATGCCATCCGGTCCGTTAAGTCCGGTTCGTTAATGTTTATCAGCTGTCCGTTAAATTTCGTTAAAGAAAAAGGGAGAAAAATTCAGAAAAAACAAAAAAAGTCCCAAAAAAATCGAAAAAAAAAACCAAAAATCACAACAACTGCAGCTAGTTAAAAATCTAGTATGTATAGGTTGAAATAAAATACAAACATACTCTCTAATAGCAAATTCCATAAACTATAAGTATGGCTAAAACCCAAAAATCCCCCAAAAATCCAAAAATCCGTTAATTTTTGGTTAATTTTTGTCTTTTTTCGTTATTTTCCGTTAATTAACTGAAAATTAACGGAAATTAACCTCTGTCCGCTATTAACGGATCAGGGTGGCCACCTCTAATGATCACATGCCAGTCAATCGAATGTACTGGGCTTGGGAACGCTTTGGGCGTACATTCTGCCTGCGTGACGGACAACAACGATTTGAAGGGGCACATAGATGTGCCACGGGGTGGACCAGCATGCACTACCGAATCCATCAAAGACCTAGGCAATTGCACCCCACGTCCGCCATGCATACCCGTTGCGCACTCAACCAGGCGTTTGGCCAGGAACGGGACCCGCTCTGCAGCTGTTATCCGTCACCTTTACCAAAGTACAGGCCTCTGGGATTGCGCGTCTTACAGAATTCCAACGGAACGGCGTTGGAATTTCTGTACTGGGGTTCACCACGTTTGATAGGTCTGTGTTGCTCCGTAAACTTTGATGGAATTCTGTCGACCTCTGTGGTCCAGTCAGCGGTTCCGTTACGGGGGCCTATCCTCCGTAGACGGCGACGCGGATTCCGTAACACGTGGTTCCATTCTGGAAGGTTGTGTGGATTTCTTTAGCCGTCTATGCTGATGTTAGCATGGCCCCGCCCGTTTCTTTTAGACACTTTTTCTCTCTGTGGCCCGCTCACGGATTCCGTTGATTGTACGGAATTTTAACAGAACCAACCAAATTCTGTTGTGGATGGACAAAGGGGGCCACCTCTAAACGAGAGGCCGGAGGCATGTTGTTTGGTGTGCCAGTCCGAGAACTGCAAGAGGCCATCCTAGCTTGGCTCGCTGTGAAGAGAACGGCGCCAGTCCACTCCATGGTACCCTGTCAGTCCGAAACTCAGTCATAAATTCAGTGGGGGGTGCGGATTGGCGTGTCGTGGCAGACTAGTGTAGCATGGACTATGGAGGGCATGGGCAGGAGTTATGAGCAAACGTAGATTCTCTGGGATGATGAGCATGCCAGCTGTGTGGAAGAGATGGATGCGAGACCGCTTCACTAAGAGGTTGCGATGGGACCTTCGGATGGAGAGGGTACCTCTGAATGGGAGTGTGAATCGGTGGACTATGGAATAGAGTTGGGGGCATAGTGTAGGTTTAGTGAATGGAGTTCATGGTGTGAAGGGGAAGCCCATGCCAGTATACTTTGATTGGGCGGAACACCTTTAGGGCGGGGAGGGGGGAGGGGTGGGGCGAGGAAAGGGCGGATGATGTAGCGGCCGGGCCGGGGGGGGATGGGAAGGGCGGATGATGGATTGGTCAAGCGGGGTGGGGGGCTGGGGAAAGGGCGGATGATGTACCGGATAGCCGTTACAGAGGGGGGAATGTAACGGATTGGCAGTGGAGCTGTAATGTACTAGCAGGCGGGGGCCAGGGCGAGTTGAAGTAATACTCCTCCTCTTGAGACTTCCAGCCGCCCCGCCCCGTGGTGTTGATGCATCCTCGACTATCCTCGTCGTCCCTGAACATCAGGCGCTGGATCAGGTTTGCTGGTACTGCATTCCCGAAAGCCAGGCCGGCCGTCAAGTCGTCCAACGTTGCCCCGAGCGCCGCGACGTGCGCCACAAGAAACCGCGGCGGCTGCAGGGACCCCTCTGACCCAAGGCGTGGTCAGCCCGCGGCTCGCGCCCAGTTAGTAACTCCCGAGCCGATCAGGGAAGCTTAAACCGGCAGAGCGCGAAGTGGCGCTGAACATCGCCGCAAGTATCAAGAACCATCAAGGCGCCCGTGAGGCCACGGCAGACGGGCCTGGCAGCCGCCCTGCATGTTGTCACACCTCAAACAAAGGGCGGATGTTCGACGCAACCAGAGGCTTGGGAACATCAGCCACCGCGGCCAGGGGTGCTGCCATAAAATTGGGTTTCGGAAAACCCTCCCGCGAGGCTCGCTGGGGCCTGACTCGCCTCGGGGCGCGGCTGCGAGAGCGCTGAGCCGGGCCGCCGGGTGCCGGCATCGAACGGCTCCGGCGCGGGCGGACGCCAGCCGCGGAGATTGCGGGCCGCCGACGGCCTCCGACAAATCCTTGGGAAGTGCCCTGGTGCGGCGCCCCGGCGGAGATCGTCCAGAAGGAGCTCCGCGTCGAACACGCGGTGCTTGAGAGCCAACGGGGGGAGGCGGGAGAGGATTGACGCCCGGACCGCGGCCGGGGCGGCAGCTTCGAGCAGGTTCAGGGAACGGGCGGCGGGGCTGCTGCTCCTGCGCGGCGGGCGGGTGGTACGGGAGCCCGGCCCTCGATCTCGAGAGGCTGCCCCGTTGAATTGCAGGCGCCCCGGCCCGCGGCGGCAGCGGGGACCGTGGTCAGCGGCGGGCGGGCCGCATGTGCGACGCGATCCTCGCGACGGCGGCCGCGGCGTTTGGGGAAGCCGCCCCCCCTGCCCCCCCCAAGGGCTGCGCCGATGAGCCGGATCCCAAGGGCTTGGTGGCCCGGGCCGGCGTCCACGAGTGGCGTCCTTGCGGGCAGGGCGCGGAGCGGGTGCAGAATGGGGGTGAGTGCGGGAAGAGGGGGGTCAGGAAGGCGGCACCCGCCAGGCCGCCTTCCATCCAGCTCCCGAGGGCGATGAGCACGCCCGAGCTGGAATCGCCCAACGGCCCGCTGGAGCTGTGTGCCCGAGAGGACGAGGGCGAGGATGCGATCGCGGGCATCGGGCAGGGGATGCCGACGGAGAAGCCCGCGTGGGACATGGACACGATGAAGCGGGCGGTGGCGGGCGCCAGGACGGGGGCAGGGGAGGTGGCCCGCGTGGTAGAGACCTGCACGTTCAAGCCGCGCGAGCAGGCGTTCACCGCGCTGATCAACATGTGCGGCCAGGCGCGCGACTGGCGCAAGGCGGTGGAGGTGTTCGAGGCGATGAAGGCGGCACGCGGCGTGCGGCCCAACACGTACACCTACTCAGCGCTCATCGCGGCGTGCAGCAACGCGGGCGAGTGGCAGCGCGCCCTGGAGTTCTTTGAGGTGATGAAGGCGGCCGCGGTGGGGGATCCGGGGTGCGCGCCCAACGAGGTGACCTACAGCGCGCTCATCACCGCCTGCGAGCGGGGGGGAGTCTTTGGCAAGGCCCTGGAGGCCTACGACGCCATGTTGGCCGCAGGCATACCCGGCGACCACATCTCCTTCAGCTCCGCGCTGTCCGCCTGCGAGAAGAGCGGCAACATGGACCGCGCCAAGGAGATCCTCCAGGAGATGCACAAACGGGGCTTCGTGGCCAGCCTGGGGATCTACAAGGAGATCATGCTGGACTACGCGGAGAACGGTGACTGGGACAGGGCGCTGGACATGTGCCTGACGATGCAGATGGTGGGGCAGGACCCCAGCGAGGGCGCCCGCAAGCGCCGCGGGAAGAAGAAGCCCTCGCAGCCGGCGCCGGCGCCCCAGGCCGAGCACCAGCCTCAGGGGTCCCCGCAGCACGCCGGCGTTTTGATCCCAAGGCCCAGTCCGGCCGAGAGGGAAAGCTCAGGCACGAAGTCGCCGATCGCCAAGCCTGCGTGGGACATGGAGACCCTGAAGCGTGCCATCGTGCTGGCCAGGCTGGGCACGGGGGAGGTTCGCCGCGTGATCGAGGGCTGCCAGTTCAAGCCGCGCGAGCAGGCCTTCACGGCGCTGATCAACCTGTGCGGCCGGCTGCGCGACTGGAAGAAGGCGGTGGAGGTGTTTGAGGCGATGAAGGCGGCGCGCGGCGTGCGGCCTAACACGTACACCTACTCGGCGCTCATCGCGGCGTGCTCCAGCGCGGGCGAGTGGCAGAAGGCGCTGGAGGTCTTCGAGGCGATGAAGGCGGCCGCGCGGGGCGACGCCAACTGCAGGCCCAACGAGGTGACGTACAGCGCGCTGATAACGGCCTGCCAGAGGGGGGGCATGTTCGACAGGGCCCTGGAGCTGTACGACGAGACGATCAGGGCGGGCGTGGCCCCAGACCAGATCACCTTTAGCTCGGCGCTGGCGGCCTGCGAGAAGAGTGAGCGGTGGGACAAGGCGGGGCGCATCCTGGAGGACATGCACGCCAGGGGGCTCACGGGTAGCCCCAACGTCTACTGCGAGCTCATCCACAGCCACGCAGATAACGGGGAGTGGAGATCCGCCCTGGATGTTTTCATGGCCATGCAGAGGGCGGGCGCCCAGCCGGATGCCAACACTTGCAAGGCGCTGATGAAGGCCCTAGAGAGGGGGCCGCAGCCGGAGTTGGCGCTGGAGCTGTACAACTCGATGCGGCAGTCTGCGATCCCCATAGACACGGACGTGTACAGTATGGCGGTGAGGGCTGCTGTGCAGGTGGATGCCAAGCGGGCTGGTGGTGGGATGGTGGCCAGCGCCCCCACCCATGTTGTGCAGGTGGGGATGAGCTATCCCCAGCAGCTCCACCTGCCGAGCTTGGCGCCCAGGCAGCTGCAAGTGGCATCAGCTCCCAAGCTTGAAGGACCACACATGGGCTTGGGTGTCCCTCAGTTTGAGCAGAAGCGGGGTGGCAGCTCAGGGTTTGCCCTTGGTCAAGCACTGCAGCCAGGCGGCCTGCCCTTTGCGCCCTTGCATTTGCAATATGGCTTGGATCTGGGGCAGCAGCAGGCGTACAGCAAGATGAGCTACGTTGCGAGAATGGCAAACCTGTCTCTGCGTCACCAATGACCTGTGCTGGACGACCGATCCTGCTGCATAGGAGATAAAGTGTGCAGTGGTTGTGAGCTGCGCGCACAGCCAACTGGCTCGACCTGTGCCAGAAGGGCATGGCTGTTTGCCCTTTGCCATTGGGAGGGTAGGGCTGGGGATCATATCTGGGCGCATGTGATAGTCGATGGGCTGGACGGGTTGAGAATTTCCCACAGCCGCGCAGGGAGGAGACACTGAGCCTGTAGGAGAGGGCTGGTCGTGTCCTGGCGCTGGAGCTGTGGGCTGACCCTTCTAGCAACAACCTGAAGGAATGATGTTTGTTTCAAGAATACAACAGCGTGAAGAACTGTTTTCCTTATTTTACGATGCGGGTGATGCGTTGAGACGAAGGCTCATCAAGTCAGGGGACAAATTTAGATTGGACACCTTGACACCGAAACTCGTTGTTTGAACTGTCAACACCTGGGAATCGAGCCTGCTGCTCCATTCGCGAGGCAGGGAGAAGTTGGGACTTCTTTATTGTATTTCTTTTGAAGCTGCCCGTCGTTGTCCAGAGGGAAGGGGTAGGAGAGGCTGGAGCAGGCTTCTCTACACTTTCGTTCGCAGGGGACCGAAGCTGGCGATGGAAAATGTGCAGTCTCGACCATGAGCAGGGCCTGTTGTCGTTAGGATGCTAAAATGGGCAGAATGGGGCTGAGACAAGCTCAAGTGAGTTTCATTGGCGCCGGTGCTGCTGGTTTGGGTCGAGGCGAATTTTCCTGCCGGCATTCCATAAAGAATCGAAGTCAGGGCAAACACCCTAGGGATTTGTAGTAGGCTGGTTAGGTGGGAAGATGTAAAATGCACAGTAGCTCAACAATGTGCTTTCCGTCTCGCGACGGGCGTATCGCTGGGGTTGCGCGGGATGAAGACCATAAATGCCAGCTGTTGGTTCTAACGAAGCAAGGTCAAGGAGCTAGGGGGCCGTCATAAAGGAACTGGGTCCACTCGTGTGGCACGAGTGTCTCTGAAGGGTGGACCCACAGCCCCTCCCCCCTGGGCTGTTCTTCTAAACGAGATAGGCAATGGTCCGTGTCTGCGGAAGAATTCATTGTTGTGGAGTGTGAATGTGCTCTTCAGCGGGTGCCCTGACTCCATAGGTGGAAGGCGGTCAGGACGGGCCCTCTTTTCATCAATTTTGTGTGGGCTTGGTCGTGTTTGAGCGACTTGAGAGGGAGCAGATCGGATGACAAGAACCAAGTAAACTTGCGATAGATGAAGGCTTGAGCCTAGGCTCTGGCCGACAATTTCTGTCTGCAAGGAGGGAATGCGTGATGACGAGCATCATGTGCTTGGCGTGGGCATGGGTGCAGCGTGTACAACATTTGCTGAAGACGTGTCAATAGCACATAAGCGTCAGAGTTCGGCACGGTATACCTGAAATGTTGCGTGCCGTCTGTATGAAACTTCCCGAGCAAGTTGTGTCGAGTTTGACGCTCAAATATCCTTGGGGGCAGCTTATATTGGGGAAGTGCGCTTGTTGCGGTGTGGCTTTGTTCTCGGTTTATTTTGAACATTTTTTGGGCAATGTAATAGGTTGCTACCGATTTAACCAATGCCGTTGCTGTCGAAATGTTCGTGAGTGCGCTGGTTGTATGAAATGCCTACCGAATGAGACTGCAGCATCAAGCCGTGTGTTGACGGCTGCACCCAACCCTTCTCATTCAAAGGCGATTCAGCGCACTCGACTGGCTCAAAAGCAAACAATAGACAACGGCAGTCGCTGTTGGTTCCAGATGCTGCAAGGAGTTTTGTTGAGATTCCAGAACCAGGCGTCCTGCTTTCGTCAGGGACGGCCGCACATCGAATGAACAAAGCGCCTGCGGCCCCCATCCCGCCCGCACCCATCAAGCCGATCCCCTCGTTGGGCAGCAAACACGTTCTTTTGCCTTGTCGGTCTGCTGGCGCCACCCACACATGTATCACCGCACATGACGCGACCTTCACACAAACTCGCTGCATCAATGCCCGTCACTTTATTCTGGCAACACCTGGCCGCAATGGTCGGCAGCCATCCCAAGACACGGGAAGCTGCAGCCCTCCCGTCAAGTCACGCATCGCGGATTCACGCTTCACACTGCAAGCTGTGTGCAATTAGGTCCTGTCGGCACCCACATGCGCCTGCTAAGGGCCAAGGCTGAGGCTGCCCTCCCCAATCCTTCTTTTGTTGTACTAATGGCTTAGCATTCGGGCTCCCGCATTGGTTACCTTGCCCGGACTGCCTGATGTCCTCCGGGGGGTGGGGAACGGGCGGCGAGCAACGAAGTGCCCGCCGCCTCCACGTCCGTCGATCGGAAGGAGTGGACATCCCCTGTGCGCCGCTTAGCGGTCCCTGCCCAGCCACAAGCAGCGCGTCCAGCCATCGACCCGTCGTTGCGCGGCCTGTTCTTCCTCTTATTTCTCTTCCTTCTACATCTTCCCCGTGTGGCTGTGGACCCGCCCGCCCCCCTGGGTGCGGTGCGTGTCCCAGGCCGTGCAACTACACAGGCGCCTGCCTGAGGGATTGGCGGGATGACTGGATGACATCGTGCCCGTCGTGTCTGTGAGCACTTTCATCAGACGGAGTTCGCACCGCGAATTTGGCAGTGCACGCTTTCAGAACAGGACGCGGCTTGTACCATCGCCGCGTACCGTCGACTTGGTGTGCACACCGCTCAGCGCCATGATGTGCGATCAAGCAACCGTACAGTTCTACCACGAAGGACAGGCCGCGACTCCCGATCGTCAGCTGATTCGACGGGCCGGATCCATCACCTTCCTTTCGCAGCGCGCCGCGGGTGGCCGTCGCCTTCTCTGTCACACAGGGACTACGGCAGCGAAAGGGCAGATTTCGGCGCTGCTCTGCCCACGATTACACTGGAAACGCACACATAAGAAAAAACCATAGAAGAGTTCTTCATAGTGTTTAGTGTCCAACTACACCAACCAGCGTCACACACGGACACACCCAGGTGCACGCGGCTAGGCCTTTCAAAGGTGCTCGTGCCCCTGGGCGCAATTGAGCCCTGATCGTCCGGCTCACGTGCGCGATTCCCAAAATGTCAGGAAAGGCACAAACAAATTGGCAACCAAATTCTCAAGCCAATATACATACTACTACTGCGACTCATTTATGGCGGCCTGACTGCACCGGAAAACTCGTCACAGCCGCAACCCCCAAAACTATACCAATTGGTAGTCAATCCCTACCCAACTGAACAGTGGCCCACTATGGTGCCCCATACTCGCCAACCCCAAACATGCCTTTTCGGCATTCCCCTGCAGCACACATACCCACCGCTGCTTAACAACACCGTACATATGCCATTTCGGCATTGCTCTTCACCTCACTTACCCAGCACCGCTGCCCAACACCATCGCCGTTCCTTCCCAAACTGGCCATCACGAACTGGTGCAATTGCACGTCCAGTTTATTGCTCCCTTTCCTTGTCCTGTCTGGATTTTCTTCCAATCAATCGAAAGTGGGCAACGAGGGGTTGTCAGCAAAGCTCCTGCAGTGGGGCTACTCCCAAAACTTTCTTTGATTCAGAAATTTCAACTGGCTCCAAAGAGGCCGCTGCAGTATCACCTAAAAGACGCTAACGAGGGACTACTCATACTATCGAAAAACATCAACTTATGTCTCGTGGATCTTACCCCAAACACACCGCATGCCAAACAGGAATCAGCAGGTTCTGCCACAGGAAAATAGACTCAAGTGCAGAAGATCCTTCCGTCCGATGCTCCACTCTTGATTACCCAAAGCCTGTCAGGCATCCAATCCCTTCCTATCAATTGAATAATGCACACTGTAGCCTATTGCAGTTGAATTCTAAACCCGTCATCGAGTTCATCGGTGAGTTTCCGTGCCACTGCCAAATCTGTCAAAACCAGTTGAGGACGGTTGCCTACTCACTATGCCGGCAAGCACACTCACTGTGCTGACCAGTTGAGTTCCAATTCCACAGTGTCACACCCTAAGCCTCCCCTGACCCTCCAGCATTTCGCCACAGGGAGACAGGCCGGGGGACGTCATTCTTTGAAAAATACAATCCGCAGGCGTTGCACAGCGGCTTTCCAGTGTGCCTGTCCTTCCTCCAAAACGGAGTAGCCCTTGTGGTGCAGTTACTGCACACCTGTACAGCGTACAAAGGGTCAGCAGTAGAGAGGGAAGATGGTGGAGAGACACACAGCAGGAGAGTGCTGGCTGGTAGGTGTCAGGAGACAATATCCCAGATGAAGAGTGTTGGAGACAATGTTCCACACCAGGAACAATGTGGAAACCTCTGAATGCACAAAAATAACAAGGGTGCAATGCTCAGAGGGCATCATGCACTCAGGGGACTCGCAGGAGGCGCTGTGAAACTAACGTCAGAAGGCGCATATCCGCGAAGCAACAAGGTCATCTCCATTGCCTGAGGCTCCCCGCTACGCCCTGGCACAAGGAATGTGGGAGGCAGATACATGGACCGCAGCAGTCCCAAGCTTGAAACAATCACATGGTACCGATCACTTTGCACACCACAATGGAAGCAGAGCTGCTGTTCCCATCACACAACGCAATGGAAGCAGAGCTGCTGTTCCCATCACACAACGATGATGGCCTCGTTGCTACAAGGCGCATGTGGCTGTTTCATCTGCGCCCTCCAAACGCACCTCATCAACAATGGACAACAGACAGTCACCTTCCGTCCCCAAAGTTTCCATGCTTTGTCCACAATTGGACATCAAGGCTCACCCGATCTTCAGCCCTCTTTCTCCCTTTCTTTGAAACCCGCAGCTTCACGCCATGCGGCTCAGCATCCACTCTGGAGCGCTTCTGACCACTGTAATCTAGTTCCTCCATGCGTTCATCGCCCTCATTTTCTTGAATCTCTTGAATGCCACCAACTGCATTGGCATTGAGCATCCAACCGCGAGGCAGAGACGTGGAGTGCATGGCAGGCATTGCCGGAGGCGGCTGGGGCAGGGTTTGTCCAGAACCTGGCCCCGAGGCCAGGCCATACCCATTGTACAGACCAGACAGGTAGGCTTGCCACAATAGTGCCAACTGCAAGACAGAAAGGCAATCATTCTGAATGCAATTGCTGAGGACATGACAAGGCACTGCTCTTGGACTTGCAAGGCAATGTCAGGCTCGACTTGAGAGCACATCAGCACATAAAAATGACCAATTCTGACAATGTGCACTCATGCTGTTGGTCTGCACACACAATTTGCAACAACTGGCTGCACCCTGTACAAAGGCTGGCATGTAGTTTGCAGTCCCCTACACTTGCACTTCATTGGCACCTTCTGCAACTCAGAACACAGAGCTTGTGAAGTTTGTCGCAACACACTTGGCCCTCAATAGGTCACCTCTGGCCAGGCTAGACATCGCCATCGACAATATGCCTGAGACATACCATTAGCAGGCATTGGTCAACGACTCGATGCCATGCTTGATGCGTAACGAACCAGGTCTTCTGGGCCCCAATTCAGCATTCAGCCTCCTGCCAAGCCCACGGCTGGGTGCGCAGGATACCACGCGCTGGCTCAACAGCCGCGCTGCCCATTGGAGGAACAGACCCCCCGGGCCCCAACAACACCCCGCCGCCCCTCTCACCTGCTGCTGCTGCTGCTGCTCTTCTGGATGCGGCTTCTTCATCTGCTGGCAGGCCACGTAGTAGGACGCAGCCGCCGCAGCCGCCGCATCGCCGCCCTGCACCTTAATCCTCTTCTCCGAATCCAAGGGAAACGCGCCAGCGAACTGCCCCTCGGCGCTGTCATTGAAGACCGGGACCACGGGCTCCACGCGCTGTGCCTTGAGCCCGTCGCAGGGGGTGCGGCAGGGCACGCGCACGATGGCCCCGCCGGCGACGGCTTGCGCGTGGACGCCGCCCGCCTGCACGTACATTTCTTCCTGTAAATCCCCATGCACCCCATTCGGCCTCTTCGCCAGCCGTCCCAGGATGTAGTGCACGCCGTGCGGACCCTGCAGGGTTCCAGCCGCGGCCTGCTCGTCGCCCGGCTGGCAGAACCAGCTCGTGCCGAGCTCGACGCTGGCGTCATGCTCCCTGCCCTGGTCGCCCGCGGAGCTGCCGCCGTCCTGGTTCGTGTTCTCGGACGTGCTGGAGTCGTTGGGCCACGCCTCGGGCTGCATCAGCTGCGCCAGGGTCTCGCTGTACTGGGCCAGGCGCTCCGACTCGTCCCCGCAGCCGCGGGCGTACGCCCCTGCAGCACCCTGCGGGCCGCAGACGTCCCCCGCGGCGCGCCCGGCGCAAAGCATGGACGCGGGCGACTCGAGATTGGCCTTCTCTCCCACTCCTCCGAGCTCCGCGTTGATCAAGATCGGCGCGGCGTCGCCGTTCTGCGTGCGGACGTACGCCAGGCGGGGCCCGTCCGGCCCCTCCCCCAGGACTTGCGAGCTGGCGCTGCCGAAGGGCATCGCGTCGTCGGCCCGTGTGTTGATCACTGCGACCTCGCCCGTGTCCGGCTTGACGATGGCCAAGGGGGTGCTGCCCGAAAGGGCGCCCTCGAGCGCCCCGCCGGCCTCCGGGCGCACCTTGCCGGTGGGCACCGGCGGGACTCCTGCGGACGACAGCACCAGGCACGGCACCGCGACCGCTACTCCCGGACTACCGTCCATGGGGCCGATCAGCCTGCGGCAAGCGCACAGCAATTGGCCGGTCAGATCAGGGGCCTGGCGTCCGTGGGGCGAAAACGGGTGTCCTGGCGACTTGTGGTTCAGTGCGGGCCCGAACTGGATGGTTCATTTCAGTGATACGTGTCCGGGGTACGGGAACGATGCACCGACGGGCCTGGGGCGAACGCGCACAGTGACCCGCGCGTGCAGCCGCCTCGCGTCGCTGTGATATCGGAGCGATGCGCCGCAGCGCGACTGTGGGGCATCACCAAGGGACGGCGCCAGCAACTAGGGTCTCAACGAGCTGGTGCCGCGCCACGGCAGCGACCGGCAATGGGCGCCACTGGGCGGGGCGGCGCGACGGCGGCGGGAGCGACCGTTCTTTCGGCAGAGTGCGCTCGCGGGCGGGCACAAAGGTGGCGAGCGCGCCAGCAGCACCTGACGGCTGGGGTCGAAAAATTTGCAAGAAACATGAGCGTCCCACATTGGTAAGGGGCCGGGGCCAAAGCACCGGGGCCCACTGCGTGGAAATGCTTAACTCCCGCGCGGCTCTGGATGACAGAAGGTGCACCTAAACACCGCCGAGACGTGTCGATGTTTTGATGCGTTTGCAAGGCAAGGAGCGCATCGTATTTCGGCCTGCGGTCCGCCCACATGCCCTGCCTGCCAGCTCGACGCCCCTTCTTCTCGCTAGCGCGAAAGCGAAAATTTCCTGGACGTGCGTTGAGCGGAGTGAGGCTACCGCGCCGGGGCTAGCGACACGCGCACGCCTCCACACGAACTCCCTTCCCCCCCCAGTCCACCCACGCCGAACATTGGGCCCGACCTGGTCGGCGGCAAGCACTCCAGGCCACACGATCCCCCGCCAATCCAGGCCGTCCAGCCCCTAGAAAACTGCGCATCGCCGCACACTCCGCACAGGCGTCGCGGACACCGACCCGCGCCGGCCGCGAAACAGCAACGCACGGACACGGCGGGAGGGTTTCCGGCCCCCATCCGCAGTGCGCCCCGCCCGGCTTCCCACAACGCACTGCCGAGCCGCGCACAATTCCAGCCAGCCCGTCGGGGGGGCAGAAATTCGTGTCGAGGTTGCCCCGATCGGCGCCTCCATCAGCTCCGGGGGCCTCAGGTTCTCACAATCGCTCCCGCACTGCCCTCTGTGGTTATCGCGCCCAACCCATGCCAGCCACCGACCGCGCCGCGCTGCGCTCCCCCCACCAACTCACCCTGGAGTGCCGGTCCCGGCGGCTGCGCGCTGGAGCCAGGGCCACGCCTGGTTCGCCCCCACCCGAAGAGCGCTCACACGGTAATCAACGCGATCGGCATCATGCGGGATGTGCCCCAGCCCCGATCAGGGCCACACAAGGCGGCGGCTGACATAGCCCCGCAACCCCCCACCTCATCCCCACGCCCTGTCCGCTGTGCGTCGGCCGCGCTCACTAATGGACAGCACGGCCACCAGCGTGTTTGACGTGCGCCACCTAACCTCCAGGCAAGCTGACAGAAACGGCCCTCAGTTCCACTGTTGGGGTGCGAGTCGTGCGATCTCTAAGCACACGTGAGATTGCAGGATCGGCGGGGGGGCCGCCGTGGCCACGAGTCCAACTCCGAGGGGCTTACGAGACGGCCTCGAGGTGGGGAGCCAGATGGATCCACAGATCCAGATGGTGGCGCGTCGCCGCGGGGGCCGACCCGTGCGCGGCTGGGGGTGGCCGCGATCAGATCCGAGGGGGAGCATCAGGTTCCGGTCCAGGTATTGTCCATCCAGGCACTGGGCCGCTGGGCCCGTCGGAGCGGAGTTTGGGGGGGGGGGGCGCGGCGGAACGGGCCAGGATGGACGCCGGCGCCGGGACGCCGAATCCGATGAGGGGTCGCAGAATGTTTTGGGAATGGAAACATATTCCGGGAAGGACAACCGTCGCCGAGGGCGTGCGCCCGTCCGTCGCCGTCGCGTCTGGAGTGCGGAATATCTGTGCGATGAAATATTCCATGAAAACCGAATGTCGTCTGCGTACCGCACGTGTAGTTGTGCTGTGCTGTGTTTCGTGTGGTGCGTGTGTTGGCAAACTGAGGGGCGCTGGGCCCTCAGCGTTATGGCGATTGAAAGCGGAGTTCCTTTTGCTGTGCAAGGACCACCCATCTCCAGGGCGGATCAATTGTGACTCCGCCAGGGAGGGTCCCTATCGGCAGTCGCGTGATTACTAAGTAAGGTGGGCACGGGAACCAACACTGATGAACATGTGAAAATCTACGTTCCCATTGAGAAACCAGCAAGCGATAAAAAAACTGATACCAAAAAACATGTGAAGAAAACGTGACAAAAGCGGCATCCAAAGAATTGGCCGTTAACACACATTCTGTTGCGACGGCGTTACACATGCACTGTCACGGACCGCCAGCCACCCAGCAAGGCCCAACGCCCCCGCCTCCCCCGCCTCCCCGACCTGGACCAATTCTCTGCCAAGGCCGCCTGGGGCCATGAGGCGGGGCGCGGCAGCTGGCTCCCCTCGGCACAGGCCGGCCGCCCCCCTGCTCCCCTGGACCCTCTTCCTGCTGTGGAACTCCCTGTGCGCCTTAGCCGTTGTGAGGTACCTTCCCCTCCTCACGGAGCCCGCCCACGAGCTCCTGTTCGCGTGCTACCAGCCCCTGGTTCCCCTGATCGCGATGCTGTGGCTGTGGGGCCTTAATGTGGGGCATTTCGAGGGCGCGGGCGTAAAGTACGAGGCGCTGTTTGGCCCGGAGGAGCAGAGGTACCTGTTGAGGCGCGGGGAGATCCACGAGCTGGCAGGCGCGGCCACGAGCCTGGCGATGACCGGGGCGGCGGCGTTCGTGGTGGCGGCGCAGAGGGAGGTGGGACGCGGCGATCTGGGGCTGTTGGGGGTCGGCGATGGCTGATGTTTGCTTGTGCCAAAATGCTGCACAACCCGGTCATTGCTGCCGGGGCTTTGCGCCGGCTGCGTCGATTGGTGGTGGGAACGCTGCCCTTCGAATTGGACCAAGGACGGGCGCACTCTCGTCCCGCCGCCATAGGATGCCGCCGGGCAACTCTGGGACATCGCTTGGGTCTCCAGTTGTCCCCGTCGACGCTTCTCATTGCGTGGTATTGCGATCTAGGTCTTTCCCAGACTGGACTGTCACTGCCACAATGCGGAAGTTTACTTGATTCGGTTGTCAAAACGTTGCAAGGCGCTGCCCTTTTAGATGTAGCTGGTGTCGTCCTGGCCGTGCTGCCATCATTTTGTTCATATGGCAAGCCCCTGCCCTAGGCTGTGTCCTTGAATGGCAGCCTTTCTAAATTTGCTGAAGAACTCTGTTGGTGTGGGTATTGCCTACGGCTTATAACTGGGTTCTCCTTTATTCCTGCCATTTGAGAATTGGACTAGTTCTTCTTTGTTGTGGTGTCAAGAAATAGATATCAGGTTGGATGGCTGAAAGACTGATTCTCAAGCCGTGAGCCCACTTCGCCGCCCACACAGACCCCGCAGTTCAATCCACCATTCGCTCTCCGACCTCTGCAATCTCTCAGGTCGTAAAGTTTGGGGAGGAAAACACTCCGCAACCTGCCTCACAACACCCTGCAGAACACCCCAGCCCCTGTGCGCAGATGAACTCACTGGTGGAGGCAAAAGGCACAATTATGGACAAACATCACTGACAATGGGGCTTCTGGAAGGAAGCACCAGTGTACCTTATTCCTTTACTGCTTTGGCATTTCAAAATAAGGGGCTAATGGGTGTATTCCTTGGCATTCTGCCCAATGAGCGTCACCCACCTTTTTTCGCTCAACATCGTGGCATTTTGAGCTGCAAGAGCAGGGGCATAGGTTCGACACGAAAGCGTCCCTTTTGGTCGCGTTAGAAGTCATATCAAGACCCTGGCGTTGGATCGGCCTGCCAGTGGGGCTGAAGGGCGCAGCTCAAAGGGCAGTGAACCCACGATCATCACTTGGTCCACGTAAGACCCAAAGGGGCACACCTGCATAGAGCCTTGTGGGGAGTGATGCAAACATTGCCATTGATCGTGTTGCGAGGCTTGCACCAGAAGGGAATGGCCAGCCATGAGCACTAGCAGGCTGAGTTCAAAAGGGAAGTAGCACAAGGACATTCCATGTCCTATCCGACTGCCCTTGGGGAGGGATGCAAAGAATACCTGCTGATCGGGTTGCGATGGCATCTCCCAGTGAGGATCTAGCCTGTGTCTGTCTGCCACAACACGTGCATGGTCTAAGTAATCCTTGGATACAAAATGTATGCAGAGACTAAGTTGGTGCTCTGGAAGTTGTTGGGCTGCTTGTCTTACCCATTTCTTTGTGCTTGACAGTTTGTATTTTGGTCTTTCAGCACAATGGGGCAAACCATCGCATCACTATGCCAAAGTGTTACCATGGTACAACAAACAGTGGTTAGGCCGATCCCCACTGTGCTATCACAGCTATCTGAATGCTGTTCCATCCCCTGTGTGGTACCTCAGGCCCCCATTTTAGTCTTGCATGTTGCTTTGTTCTGTCCTTGGGCTCCTGCTTGACCACATGCGGCCAAAGATGTTGCAGCAGTTTTGAAGCACCACGTTGCTTTGCAAGGAGCAACAGCCATAGGCGAAGCTCAAAGTGGCATCGTTTGCTCTTCTGCTCTAGCACAGTGCTGAATGACACAATTTCAACCTGGACACAGATGGCTGAACGTTTTAGCACAGTCTTTGATCGTGCAGAGTTCTGTGAAGCCACATCTCTTTGTATCTCCTGGGATGCTAGCTGCTCAAGCATGATACTGTGGGGTGCTGTTGGGAAACACTGGTGATGAGATCTATTCTTGACAATTCAATTCCTTCTCTCAACACAGCTGTGTCACCCCTGTACTGCGAACTCACAGCTCGATATGGTTTGGCTGTGATTACAAAAAGCACTGGGGATGCTCTGAACCATGCAGATGAAAGTGTTTTAAATGTACAGCTGTGATGCACTGCTGTACTGCGGTGCTGCTGGTACACTTGCCCGCCAGGGCGCA